GTTATGAGAAACTCAAAATGCTCTGACTCGGTGTCCGTCCTTTTCGTACGCGGCACGCGCCCACTCTGCTCCCCCCTTGCCGCTTGGCTAGTACTCCTACTAGAGAGTATATTTATATTAATAAAAGAATCACCGATCCTTTTTCTTCCGACCTGTTCGCTGGTTGGTTTTTAGGCTGATAAGCTCGGCTGGTGCTGGTTTGTTGTGAGAGGAAAACACTGTTGGCTGGCTAATAAGCCCTGGCTGAAACCAACAAACGAAGAGACAGTTTGTCTTCATCTACACAAATCAGACAACAGCTAGGGCGCACCTCCTGCCGGCGTGTCCTCTGTCCTTTCGCTTCCTCATCCCCACCATAGAGCCTTGCGGCTGCCCTTGTAGGCACCTCTTCATCCCAACCGCTTCCTTCGCCCCACCCCAACACCATCCTTCGAGTTCATCGCTAGAGCCCGCCACTTTTTGTTCATCTTCTTCACCACGGGCTGCAATCCTACTAGTAGTACTACAGTATGGTGAGGGGCGGGCTAGGAGATGGCTCTCCACGTGAGGCCCCTCTGGGCAGCGGCCCTCCTCGGCCTCCCCTGCTTGGCTAGGCCTCATCGATTCCACTACAACGCCTCTGACGCAGGGCGGCCTCCAAATGCTCCATGTCCTCCTTGTTGATCTATACCGCAGTTCCCCATCAGGTAGGCCGTGGTCGCGTGGGCGAATGTTGTGTTTTAGTGTTTCAGGCGTTTTCTTTTTTACTTTTGTTTCAAATGTTTCATCTAGATGTTGCAAAAGTAGGTCTGGATATTGCATATGTTTTCAAGTGTTGCGGGCGTTTCAGACTTTTGTTTCAAATGTTTCATCTGGATATTGCAAAAGTAGATATGGATGTTGCATATGTTGTAATGACAAAATACGCATCTTGCAAGCCCATGTTTCAAATGTTTCTTGTATTTTCATACGTATATTGGAAAAGTTTCATCTGGATGTTTCAAAATAGATCTTTGTGTTGCTCATGTTGCAAATGGCTATATATGGATGTTTCAAGTGTTTCATCTGTGTTAGACTTATGTTGCAAAAGTTTTATATGTATGTTTGAAAAGTAGATCGGACGTTGTACATGCTGCAATGGTGCCGGCTGCCGGCGGACAGCGGCCTGTCGCAGGGCTTTGGCTCCTACCTCGTGCGTTCCTCGCCCGGCGCGCCTCGCCCTCTCCTCTCCCTCCCCTCCCTTCCCTTCCCTTCCCTTCCCCCATCTCGCCATGGCAGTTCGAGCTCGGCCAACAAGCGTGCGGATGTCGGTAGTAAGCGCGCGAGCCTGTAGGCGGGGTGAGCGTCGCGTAGGTGGGGTACGACGCAGATTGAAGGCGTCTAGACAGTGCTAAGCGTCCGGTCGCGCTCTAGCCATACCTTTGCAAGTTAACAATTTGACATGTAAAACATGATAACCTTTAGACACAACTTAGTACAGTCTCAGCGTTAAACACTTTCAGCAGCAGGCTCTCCTCTCTTATGTGTACGATTTTAAAGCAATGTGCCACCCTTAATAATTAGTTTGAGCAGTAAAAATTTCTACATTATCGTCCATAAGGTGCATGTACTATCATGATTTATTTGTTGATAAAATCTCACTGTCAAACAGAAACATGCGCTGACTTAAGTAGCCACGTAAACTATCCGAAGTGAATTTTCCTCCAGGAAAGACCGCAGGACGTCTAGAAGGTGGTGGTTGTTGCCCCTCCTAAATTTTAGTTGATGTCCCATCGAATGTTTGACATATGTATGGAGTATTAAATATAGACTAATTACGAAATTAATTGCATAGTTTGTGACTAATTTGCGAGACGAATCTTTTAAGTCTAATTAGTTCATATTTAAACACTCCATGCTACATCCATCCGATGGCGGATTAATTTGGCTTAAAAAATCGTCTCCTAAATTTTTATTTTTATTAAGTCCTTACTCTCATGCAACATCCATCTAAACACCAAATTGTAGTCACCGGATCCAAAAATAAAGACTATATGGGAATGGGATGTCCCAGAAACGATTTTAAAAAGGGGGGAAAATTGCAAGAGGTACATGGGATGGGCCCAGAAATGATTTTATAAAGGATGGGATGGCCTCACAAATGATCTTAAAAAGGGGAAAAGAAATATACTGCAAGAGCTACATGGGATGGCCCCAGAAATGTTTTTAAGAAAAGAAAAATAAAAAATGTCAAAAGTGGTACATGGGACGGGCCCAGAAATGTTTTTAGAAAAGAAAAATAAAAAATGTCAGAAGTGGGAAGAAATGTTTTTAGAAAAGGAAGAAGAAAAAAAATGAGTTTAGAAAAGGAAAAAATTAAAATGTCAGAAGTGGTACATGGAATGGGCCCAGAAATGTTTTTAGAAAAGAAAAATAAAAAATGTCAGAAGTGGGAAGAAATGCTTTTAGAAAAGGAAGAAGAAAAAAAATGATTTTAGAAAAGGAAAAACAAAAATGTCAGAAGTGGGATTTGAACCCACGCCCTCGTTAGAGGACCAGAACTTGAGTCTGGCGCCTTAGACCACTCGGCCATCCTGACCTTACATTAATCATTGAAATAAGTTCTATTATAGAAAGAACTTACTTTTTGCTAAGCAAAAGAACAAGCGCTGTCGTAAGATTTCCTAAACCTGAAATATTAGGTGCCTGTACAATCTCTATGGCTTGTGAGCGCAGCTGCAACGTGACATGCAAGACTAGTGATCCTAGACAAAATAGTTACTATCCAGATATACACATATAATAAGGTACAAGGTAATTGATTCTCCTGATGCAGAGGAGCCGTTTGGATCATTTTATTTTTAGAGGAATTGGAATCTACTAAACGGAGTAGACCATTGAGTTTGGAATTTGGCATTCCACAATTTCTCAAAGTTCATATATAAGCCTATCTCAATTTCATAGGGTGGAAGATGAAAACTGATTCTATAGATCACTGTGCTATGTTTCTAATCTACAGCTTCTAGCACGCTCTTCGACTCGCGCTCCTATAGCAGAAATGCAGCACATCTGTATCTCTCTTATGTGACGAATAATAATATACAAATATATATTTTACATACAACCATATTAGCTTAATCAATCTATGTCTAAATTATGATTATTAGAATAAATTTTAATTCTGAGAATCTAAACGGGGCCTCACAGTCCTTCATTATGGTCTCATCGTTCTTAGTTTTAGCGTGAAGCTTCAGTGAAAGCTGTTCTGTGCGTACATTTCTCCTTTTTTCACAACATAATGTAGATAGAATGTGTGCTCTAGCCTTTTATATATCAAACAAAAACATCAAAGTACTAACGTTCTACGAAGTCAACACCCGCGATGTGATCAGCTGGACCTAGAACCTACTCCTAGTAGATGTTGAGATGGAGCCTGGGACTAGTGTACACCGCCGTGTAGCGTTGGGGTGGCTTGAGGAATGCGCGTCTGGCGTGGGGCTGGCGTGCACACGTCAGCGTGACCGGTGATATTATGAGCAAATTCGACGATACAGGTACAGGTACAGCTGCCGCTTCACCGGCATGTTGGCTCGCCAGCCAGGAATTATCACTGAGTGAACAGTATTTTTTTTTCACAATAAATCAGCATTCGAGAAACATCAGTCCAGAAACCAATCAGCGAATGCCCATACAAATCTTCAGCAGTACTAACGAGCATTTAAGGTGTTCAGGTACCCATCAATCGGTACTGATCACATGGCGTACGTCGATATCCATGATTAGATCGATTAGCTGTGTTTCCAGTTGACTCTCTGTAGGAGTATCATCACCAGTTGACTGATCTTCTGCCAGATATTTCTAGGGACTGCATAAAAAGTTCTTCAGAGTACACTGGATCCTTGATTCACCTCCAAACTACAGTACCATTGCACCGCACCAGCGCATGGCAAGGTCAACCTCAGCTAATTTAGATTATAGCCCTAGCTGATCGCTTGGTCCAAACCGGCCCTAAATCATGTTAACGTTCTGCTCTCTCAACTTTCGGTGAATCTGAACTATACATTTAGTGCACAACAAAGTTTCAGTTCCTCCTCTTCTAAGAGCGTATATATATATACAATTCAATGTGTTCTTGATACACAATGGTACTTGATCCTGACTGCGAACATCGTTTGTCATCAAGGCTGAGAATTGCTCGATATGTGCGCTCAATTGAGTCAACATGATCTGAAAGATACCTTGCGAGCACTAAATAAAGATTCTTCAGACTAGTACAGTGTTTCTCTATCAGTATTTGTTGAAAGGGAGACAATGTGGCCAAACACAGATATCGTGGCCGTCCAATGTTCACAGCTACCAACGAAAATAATATTCTCTGTTGGCATCCACCCATCTGAACAATCAAATAGTACTAAGATATTTTAAAGAAGTATAGCAAGAATCTTGATTAAGATATTTTAAAGAAGTATATCAGCAATCTTTGATTACGGGCCTGTTCGGCTGCTACTGAGGTCAGCTGAAGTTGTTTTATTGTGAGAGAAAATTACTATAGATTCTAGCTGATAAGCTGGCTGATAAGTTCAAGTGAAAAGCCTGTAAAAAATTTCCCCATCTCTGAGAAGGGCAGAGTATGATCTCCCAAGAACAACCAAACAACAGAACGAGACCTTCAAAAAAAAGAAAAACAGAACAGAACAATAAACAGGAAGAAACCAAACACAAGACATTAATGTGTGAGTTCAGAGGCAAGGAACATAACACGGCCGAATTGGCATTACCCATCTGAATAATATTCTGAACATTGAAGAATTATAGACCACAAACGAAAGAATGTTGTCACTTATCACAGCTCAAGTGATGAACATCAGCAGAGTACTACAACGAACTTCAATCTTAACTGACCGGCATACTGCTACTTCTGCACTACACCACTACAACCAGATATTAGCAGAATTTTGTTTTTGTTTTCTCTGGATCCTGAAGAAATCTGAACTATACACATTTTTTGTTGTGATGAATCCGTCCCCGGACTCGGTAGAAGATCACAGAAGATGGGGAAGCCGGCGTCCTGCTCCATCTTGGCGGCCAATCGGCGACACGAGCAGGTTGCCAAAGAAGTCGGCGTCCCCCGGCATCAGCAGGTCGTCGAGGTTGATGCCCGCGAGCCAGTCGTAGCCGCCAAGGTCGCCGAAGTCCTCCACCTCCTCCTTGGGCAGGATGGCGCCGGCGGCAGGGGCCGCTGGTGCTGGACCCACCATGTCGTCGAGCGCCGGCAGCGAGGCCAGCTCCGGGAACGGCTCGTCGTCGATCTCCGACTCCGGCGTCCGCGTGTCATGAGAGTGCGACGCCTCCGATTCCATCTGCTTCTTCTCCTTCTGCTGCTGCATCTTCTCCCACTCGTTCTTCTTGTTGTACAGGCGGCACAGCACCCAGTCATCCAACTGCAGGAGAATCGATCGAACAGCACACATCAGCATCTCGGTCGATTGAAGAATAATAGGGGAAGAAGAAAATTCGACGCAAGATTGCGACTTGCGATCGAGCTGCCGGAGAAGAACAATAGGGGAAGAAGAGGAAAATTCGACGCCGCTTACCCTGAGCGTGCCGTTGCCGGTGCCGGACTTCTTGGCGCGGGCGCCGGCGTCGGCGAGGCGGTACTCGTGCATGATCCACTCCGTCTTGACCCCGCGCGGGGGCTTGCCGTGGTAAAACACGAGCGCCTTCTTGATCCCAACCGTCCTGCCCCTGTGCTCCACGGGTTTGTCGGCGCCCGTGGCCTTCCAGTACCCGGAGCCCGCGGCGCGGTTGGGGCGGGAGCCGTTGGGGTACTTGCGGTCCCGCGGCGTGAAGAAGTACCACTCGCGGCGGCCGAACAGGGCGCGCTCGGGGAGGTCCCAGGGGTCGAAGCGGTACAGGTCGACCTCGGCGATGATGGAGACGGGGGGGCGGCGACCGGCGGCCCGCGCGCAGAGGTAGTGCGCCACCAGCTCCTCGTCCGTCGGGTGGAACCGGAACCCCGGCGGCAGGTTCAGCTCCGCCTCCGCGTCCCGGCGCTGCTGCTGCTGCTGCTGCTGCTGCACCGCCGCCATCACCATTGGCTGGCTCGCTTGGATCTTGACTGTTCCTCACTGCGGTGCGGTTGTTGGCTGGCTGGCTGCTGCTGCGGGAGGTGATCGAGTGGAGGGCGGGGAGTGGATAGGGAGGGGGATAAATAGAGAGGAAGGGAGGGGTCAAGGCGAAAGGAAGGATCGTGGGTATGGGAGGAGGTGGGATTGGGGGCGGCGGCGGCCAGGGGAAGGGGCAGCGCAGGGGTCGCGATGGTTGGGGGTAGCGGTCGGCCGCTTGCCGCTTACGGTGGATGCTGACGTCGACGACGACAGCTTGACGGCTGAGAGAGAACCAACCATGAGCACCGTTGGATGCAGGAAGCGGCCGCTGTGCTTCACTTTCCTCTGTCTTTTCTTGCTTTTATTTTAGTACTAGAATAATATAATCCTCATGGATTACGACTAATGGACAGCTATGTTTGTCTCCGAGAATACAGTTGGGCATCTCTCAAATTTGAGCATCGAATTTTCTAAAAAATCAAGATAGGATTTACTTCCAAGCAAATGTAACGAGTAGAAATTGGTACTCCTGTGCTAATTTTGAGAGTGTACTCACTCCGCTTTTTTCCTAATAGAATACGTTTATTTAGGACGAGTATATTGGCTTAAACGAACTAGTTAAATCTCGCATTTTTAAAGGTCACCGGAGACAAAAGAAGTCTCTACGTGAATGTATTGTATTAGAACTACACTGCAAATTACTATAACTACGGATTATACAGAGAGCATCCACACCGACGAGGTGACGACAACACAACACACAAAAGAGGAGGACAAAAACTAGACACCACAGATAAAAGATGGGAGGAAAATACAAGACTAAATCAATTTTCTATAGACTTTTGTCAAGACTGGTTGTTGGATTATAAAAAATGTTCCCCTAATCTCATTCTCTTAATTCTTATAGAAGAAGGAAACAGGGTCTTACAATAACAAAGAAGAATATAGCAGAGAGCAACTCCAAGAGCCTATCTATATCCTTTCTTATCGATAGAAGTAGAGATTTTGATGAAAAGAAATGCCGTCCAACAATTTTTTTAATTAGCCAGAATTGACTCTGCGTGGCCTGTGACAAGATATAAAAAACTCCTGATCTTTAGGGATGAGCCCCCAACACTTTCGTAACAAAAGGATCACTTTTTTTTTATTATAGAAAATAACTTTCAACGTCATTGCAATTAGCACGACCTAAGGCAAGGATCGACAATGGTAGACCAAAGGATAAACATCCATAGACTTGGGTTTTTATATACCCGTCACCCAACGTGATGTCAACGAAAAGACTAATCCTGCATCTCGCGAGGCCTTTAAGCGATGTCGGCACGAGCGTTCATCGACATCACATGACGTACCAACAGGAACACTTCAGCGCCCTTCTCGCAGTCTCGCGCGGTTCTCTCCTGCACCACGCGCCGTCAGCCGGATCAGACGTGTGGCCCGTCCTGACCTGTGGTTGACGAGTACTCATCTCGCGCCTTTGCTGTCGATGAGACGAGCAATCTAGGTTCCTACCGCTGCATGTGGTTGGAGTACTGTGGCTGAGACGAGAATCTGTACCGCTGCATGGCTATGTAGAAAGTGTTGGTGGAAAGGATTGAAGGGCCAAAATTGGGGTCCCACTGTGAGGTGGGTGGTTACTGGCTGTTTTTGTGTACTCCATTGTGTTGGCAGGAGTAGTATAGCTTTTTTTCTATATAGAAATGTTTAGGGGGGAGGCAAGGAATTTGGCAAATCTGCCATGTGGGGTTTTCATTTATAGGTAACAAAAAGGATGACTTTTCTCTAGTCTAGACGCATATTATATGAATAATAACAAACAAATTAAGTAATCCTAGGATTTATTCGGATTCATTAGCACTAAAATTTAGTCACCCTGCCAACGAGATCCTTGTTCAATGGTAAAACGGCATGCAAATTTCCGAACAGTGAAACGATCCAAGGGTTTGTTGTTTTTTAGTATAAAATAAGAACACATTGAAGTGGAATTTGCTTGAAAGCTGACTAACTGAATATATTGGAAACCAAAGTTTATTATCCCCAAGGTAGTAGAGTGAAAGAAACAAGAATTTATAGAAATAATTAGTCAATAGCAAACAAAACATTTTTCAAGTAATCTAGTATTTTTTTGTGTGTAAATCATGGGATCCAACCAACCTCTTAGGCTTACTTTTTTTTGAAAAAAAAGAAAACTCTTAGGGAATCTTGTTATGAGTTATTAAGTCTCAACATTTTTTTTGTTACCAAATATAGAAAAAATCTGTGTTTGGTGGAAAGTGATTGAAGGAGCCCAAAATTGGGGTCCCAAGGTCCACTAGGGTCCCGTCCTGTTGGGATCGGATTCTAAAATTCAAATTCTTGATTAAAAATAATCTCTGGTGTTTTTTTGGATTACGTGCTTGTGTGATAGAATCCTCTAGGATTCTGATGCATTTGGATGAGATCGTAAGATTTTGGATATCCGGATTCTTAGGTCCCGTCTGGTTAGAGAGTTTTAAGATCTCAACTCAACACAAGGACGCTGAAGCCCCTTTCCCAATTGTTTCTCGCTGCGGGCTTGCGGCCGCCAGCTGCCGGTCTAGATTCTAGGATGTACCTGGCGGGATAGTGCATTGTAGAATCCAAATTCTGAGATAAGAAAAATCCACTTTCTGGCGACCCATTTGGATTGTGGATTCTAGATTGGATATCCTAGCCTAGCTTCTCTTTTGAAGCCTTGTTCATCAAAGGTTTAAGGTCCCGAGGTCCATGCCCGTCCTCAAACATTTCGTCTTTGGTTAGGCCTTTTGGATTACGTGCTTGCGAAGAGTGATAGAATCCTCTAGGGGATCTAAACTTTTGGATATCTGACTTCTTAGGTGTGGCGTCGGTTACCTGAGATTTCGAAAATCTGACTGATGGGGGTTGTACATTGAGCTGGCTGAGGGAGGTCGGGCGCTATCTTGTGAGGCACGCGGCTGTTGAGACATTGTTTGGTCGTATTATTTGCTTGAAAAATTGCCTATTTTGATACGTGTCGAAATCAAACGTGGGATTGGGAGCCAAGATTTGAAACTTAGATATTCATTGGAGAATCTAGATTCTAGATTTCACCCGTTTGGATTGTGGATTCTAGTTGGATCATAATCCTAGCTTATCAATTTGATGTCACAAAATAGTGGAATCACAAATTATTACCGGTTTCCCTCGTTGGAAACTCTGAAACCCTACGCCAAAACGTGCCTTGGTTGGACAGATCGAAATGGAGAGGGTCATGTACCAGCGGTCGTCCCTGTTAGCCATTGTTTGATACATGTGGGTTCGCTCAGGTGCATTCGTTGCAAGTGAAATTAAACTAAATTATATTCCACAACGCCCGCCCGCCACAGTATCGTCGAGACAAGACCTCAGAGTTTACAACGACCGTCCCCCACCCAGATGGCTGCGGCCCTTGTTTAGTTGTTGCAGCCTCGGGATCGAGGGAATCAAATCATGGAGATAGCGCCGGGCTCGTGCAACGAACGCAGAGGCGGATAGGCCGGCGATGCCATCATTTTCCGTGCTGAAACGAAACAGGAAAAAGGTTTTGAAAAAGCGCCCTCCTAGCCACGACCTAAGGTGATTACCATCTACTACGCCGCCCAGCTGTTGGTGTGGATAAATCGGGCGGGAACTTTTACAATGAAGAGGTTAAACGAAATACCCATTTCGTGTCCCCAATCGGGCATCCTTTGAAGAGTTTCTGCCTTCGCACGCGGCAATTGATGCACTCTTCCCAATTAGGTGGCGTAGGAAGGGTGTGCGGCTGTGAGTGATGCGTAGATGAGGGTTAGCCACCTTAGTTGCTCCATTCTATGGCTGTATATAGTACATTTTAATGGTCTTGCTTGTCGTGTTACGATATTCTTGGTCTCACTAGCAAAATGAAAAAAATGTTGTAACAAAAAATTTCCTCTTAATTGTATTCTAAACACTGCGAGAAAAAAAAATGGAGCATCGAGGTTTTTTTGTCAAATTCTTAGCATCGGGGTGAGAAGCAGTCGCTGACTGAATCTGACTTCTTCATAGTGCGGAAGGTGGGAATTTGGAAGCAAGGCCGAGATCAATACAAAAATACTACAAATTATAGCATTATATACATTTATATATAAGTATATACATATATATACATGATAGTGTACCAAACTAGTTGGGTATTCCCGAATACTGCGTCATACCGTGCACTGGTAATCAATGTCGCCGATATTATTAGTGTCCAATGCATGCCATGCCGCTTTCACTTACATTGTTGTATTACGGTATGATAAAACGAGTTAATGCTTAAAAACATTTGAGATTATTGTCGACCCATAAAATTCAAGACTAACTAAGGGACTTTATCTTGATTAAACACTTTAAGTTTGACTAGGTGAAAGCTGTTTTGTCTTGTTCTTGGTGAAATCGAATTTCCGTGGAGCGGAAGGCTGATGCGCAGGTGCAGGTGCAGCGTACACAACGCCCGCCCGCCACAGTCGTCAAGAGTCAGAGCGCAACGACCCCACGCCTGCAGAGCAGCAGGGTGATGAATCAAATTCCGGGATCGAGGGAATCATGTGAAAGCGCGCCGGCTTGGCTTGATGGACCGATGCTGAAACGAAACAACACGCCACCCAGCTGTTGGGCAAAGTTGCTCGGGATCGATGAACTAATTAGACACGCGTTTGCCATCGTACGATCGCGGTTGGGCATGGCTGGTATCAACATTAGAGAGATGGAATAGAATGATCGCGTCGGGTCTATAGCAAAACGACTGCACTAGATGTGCTTGTTGCTGACTTCTTTTTGATAGATGGCCGTAGAATGCGAAGAGAGATACTTATTTGATCGGTCATCATAACCGCTGGTGATCTAACTTTGATTGCTCCTTCTCCTCGAGACACCATGATTGTTGCTGTTAATCTGAAAAATAATTGTGAAAATGCTAGCATATGCACATGGGTCATTATGTGGCATGGATCCATCTTGTTGGAGTT